GTGGTGGTTGTGGTGGTGGGGGCGGGGGGTTGTAAAGTAGCAGCCCGGCCCTGTTGTCCCTGGATGCGCCACCTTGGCGTTGATTGCTGGGGCTGCCAGGCAGGACTGAGCCTTGCACCTGTCGGGAGACAGCTGGGGCACAGCTCTAGCGGAGCGGGCAGCGGTGGTGAGTTCCCCAGCTTCCCGGGGTGGTGGGGCTCAGGGTTTGGATTTCAGCCCTGGTGTGTTGGGGCGGCAGACTCTGGACATGAATTTTGGGTTCCAGCCCTCAGTTCTGGTTGTGCAGTAGTAGGCCTTGGGCTCCAGGGTCACAGTTTTGAACTCTGTCCCTGGGCCATGGGGCTCTGCGATCTGGCCACAGGGCTTCACAGTGCAGCTGCCGATGTCTCTTCAGCCACCCATCTCATTGCCTCAGAACCCCTCTAGGTTTTAATTTATCCCTAGGCTTGGCGGGGCTGAGTAAGTTTGTTGTGAAAGGTGATACTACTTATACAGCTTGAACAGCTCTGGTTCGGGACCTGACCGGTTCCAAATGAGAGAATTTTCTGACCACATTACCAGCACTTCCACTGCTTACCGGGCTGTTAGAGGTTGTTTAGGGGCAACTTAGAGCTAAATAAGAGCACACAACACTGAGCGCCAGAACTGGTGGCAGACTGGTGGAGCTGGAATCGGGGCTGTGGTAGTAGAGACAGCCTCACTGTGGCCCCAGTTCCAAGTGCAGCACATGGGGCAGCCACTTGCCATGTGGCCCTGTCAGCCAGGCTGCATGGCATCCACCAAGCTGGAACCCTCTGTCATGGCACTCACCTTCCAGGGCTCTGCAGGAGAGGTGGGCTGGCCTAGAATTCTTTGTGTGCGACCAAGCAGGCATGCAGCTTAGAGGGAACTATGGCTCTTGGCTCCCGTGGTGACTTCACCACAGCTCTGAGCCCCCTTGGTGAGTTCAGGAGCTGTGGGGAATTTACTGGGGCTCGGAGCCATGGCTTCCAGTGTTTGTGAATTTTGCCATTTGTAGTGGTGCATCCGCTGAGAATGGCGAGTGTTTCCCATATCCCTTTTCACAACGGACTTACTTGCTAGCAGTAAATAAATTACGATTTGAACACACATGTCTATATTTATTTGTTTTTCCTAAAGTCACTAAAAAAACCACCATTGTCCTGAGAACCTCTAAGGCAATAGCTTGTCTCTGACAAGGAGTGCTACCAATTGCTTCAGCAAGGAATAGAATATGTTAATTAGTGATAGATCCATTCTGTGTTGTCCAGTTAAGGACACCTGGAAGATGGAGTTGTGTCCCTTACCATTTCAGCTAATAGCAATTGAGGACATATCTTGAATGAAGCTATGTAATTTTTTTTTTACCGTAGTTATAGTTTTGCCCTTTACAGCCTTCCCTGGCACGAGTTCCACAGGTTGACTGTAGGTTGTGTGAGGAAGTACCGTCTTATGTTTGTTTTAAACTTGCTACCAACTTCATTGGGTGACCCTTCCCCCTATTCCCAGTAAACTGTGCACTTGTGCAGCTGCCTAGGAGAAATCCAGATGTCACCCAGCTGATTAGCATAGTGCCCACAGCTAGTTTTGTTTCTGCTGGTGGTGCACATTGTCGAAGCAAAAACACGCTTCTTTGTGTTTAGGCAGCTAACAAGCAGCTTTATTAATTAATAAAGCACAGCATGAGCCAAACGTGGTTACAGCAGAGCCAGACCCAGTAAAGCTGCTAATACAATTAATTCTAGTATTTTTATACCCTTAACCAAACAGTTTGACGCTACTAATACAATCAATCCTAGTATCTTTATACCCTTAACCAAACAGTCTGACGTCAGGGCATCCAATTACAGAAATCCTCAATTAAATTTGGAAAAACAAAGCCTTATCAACAAGATGGCGGACAGGTGCGAGGGAGTACATCTTCTGTCCCAACCAGCCCAATTAACACATACCAATAGCCCATCCTGTAGGCCTCTTCTCACGGGGTGACAGAAAGTTTACTTTGGTTTACGTGCTTGAGAGAAAAGCTGAAATGGTTTTTGATATACAAGATGGCTTTTAGCTAAATATGAAAATGGTTTCTACAGCTTTTACAACATTTACACATGCCTTGGTGTACATAAAAATTATTCTGCCCATGGGTTGAAAAGATTAGAGGGAATGTTGACTGCTGGTTCGTGTGTTATGTGGAGGGGTAAATGACACTGCTTTATTCATTCTCTTCACACCATTCAGACACAGGGAATTGCTGGTATATGATCTACATCGGTCCTGATCCGCCTATCTGTCATTTGCATGGATCGGTACTGACTAAATTGGAATATATTTCCCTATTATACCATACTGTACTTACATCTGCTAGCCATGTTCGAGGCTTATTATCTGATTAAGGAAATGCTGGATGAAGGAAAGCCAGTGTAAAGTAGTTTTAAGAGTGGAAAACATTGACGTGTCATGAGAAGAGGTTACTTCACGATATATGATGAGCATTTGGTGCCATGTATAGCTGGATGGTGTCCATAGTTTTGTGGAATTTGATGCTGTTCCTGCTCTCACACAAGAAATTGTCAAGTTGAGGAAGGATATCAGTCTCAAGGAGATTGAGCAGGACAACGTACAGGAATTTTGGGGGTCTTATGTTGAGCAACTGTCAAATGAACTGGTTGAGCTAGACCAACAAGGGATAGCTAAAGAAAGCAGGACAATGACGATGACGGCATAGAGCAGAAAGCTAGAAGTGTGATGACAAAGAATCTCCCGTTTATTAGGATTGATGGATCAGAAAATGGAAATCATACAGAGCAGTGATACTTTCTGTGAATGGCCTGCCAAAGTCTCCAGCATTTCCTGAAGTGGCTTGCTAAAGGGAGCTCTGTCTTTCAGAGATTGATGCAGGACAGAAGATATTGATAAAATCCTTTAAGACTTCTGCAATTAAAAAAAAAAAAAGTCATGGAAAAGCCAGCCCAAGAAAACCTAGCTATCATCCCTCCCTAAGTGTAGTGTAATGGATGCTGCTTCATATGGTATTACTGTATTAAAATGCTCTGTGTTTGAATGGTGTCAGAAGTGTTTTACATTATTTTATTCAATGTTTTGTGTGTAAAAGGTGTACTGTATAGTCTGTCTTTGTAAAAAGGCATATTGTTTAGGTGAAAAGATTGTCATAGGCAAGTATGGTGAAGTTATGTGCATTTCTTTCTCCCCCTCCCCCCCACTGTTCCATTATTTCTTATGATGAAAATTCCCTGGTATATGTTGTTTCCTTATCCATCGCCCTTTTCAAGAATAAAACCCGAGTGAATACAAGGGGTCCCCTGGAGCAATAAACTAATGAGGCAGCACACAGAGGATTGATAAAACTCTAGTGCTGAGCTCAGCCACATGGGCTTCGTGGTAATTTCTAGATAGCATTTTCAGCTTGGTTTGCTTTACAGGGAGGTGAAACTATACCAGGTGCTCAGCGATTTGAGAAGTAATGTTTCTGTGACATTGGATTGTATAAATACTGAGCACATTGCTGGTACCGAAATGATGAATGTCCTTTCTAGTCAAGTTTTTTCCTTTGATCTCACTATCACAGTGCAGTACTTATTCTCTTCCTGAAACTCACTTGAGCGCTCTACAAGCTTCTCCCAAAGGTGACTAGAAGCAAAACTTAAATTTCACTTTGCACTTGTTTCAAAGAAAATATGCGCATAAATTTAGAGATAATCTCACTAGAACAGATTTGGATGACATCAAGTAACATATTAATAGTTATTAGTCATTAGAAATATTACCATGATACCTTGGAGCCATAGTCCAGGACCAGAACCAGATGTGCTTAGAAAGACTGACAAATATTGCCCTTGCTTTGAAGAGCTTACTATGTAAGTAACATGCCAACCTACTTTGGCCTCGTCTTGAGTGAAATAGCTTAAATTAAATTGAGAGCTGGCACTTTAAAACCAAAATAACAGTGCCTCCAATGTAAAATTGCATTGTTCAATTAAACCTGTTTCTACAATGACTTAACTAAATCGGTAACACTATTGGAACAATATGAACTACAGGCAGTCCCTGGGTTACGTACAAGATAGGGACTGTAGGTTTGTTCTTAAGTTGAATTTGTATGTAAGTCGGAACTGGCATCCAGATTCAGCCGCTGTTGAAACTGACCAGCAGCGGTTGAATTGGACACGCCTGGGGCAGAGCAGCTGGGGTGCTGCTGGGTTGGTCCCGCAGCGCCGCTCCTCGACGCTACTGGACCAACCCAGCAGTACCCCAGTTGCTCTGCCCCAGGCATCCCCAATTCAGCTGCTCGTGAAACTGACACCGCTGGTCAGTTTCAGCAGCGGCTGATTCGGGACGCCTGGGGCAGAGCAGCTAGGGTGCTGCCGAGGGGCAGCACTACTACGGGACCAACTCGGCAGCACACCAGCTGCTCTGCCTCCGGCCTTTCTGATTCAGCTGCTGGTCAGTAGCTTGGCTACTGGCTGGGGAGGAGAGTATGACACTTAGGGGGAACCCCCTCCCCCCCCGCCAGAGGCGGCGACAGTGGGGGAGGCACCCTGCACTAGCGGGGGGGGCCCCCCCCCAGTTCGTAACTAGGGGTCCGATTTAAGTCGGACCCATGTAACCCGGGGACTGCATGTAGTTTCTTGCTGTTGGTTAGAAATTGTTCTTTTCCCACCCCAGATGAACAAACAAGATCCTCCACTGTTTTTCAGGGTATGAGTATTGCCAGCCTGGGACCTACGTTTCAAGATTTGGCTGCAAACGTGAATAAAAATGTCAGTGATATTTACTACATTTTTGTGGGTCGTTCTTTGGGGTACCTTGGTGGCTCAGTGATTGGAGGGATTCTCATTGACTCTATGAACCCTCACCTCCTCTTGGGTAAGTGTACTCAAAATTATATTTTGCATGTGAGAAATGCATAGCTTGATGAATCTTTAATATACTTCAAGTGTCATAACCTGAGTTACTTCCATAAGGGTTGATATAGTAACAAATTGTGAAAGTTGTGTTCAAAAACGTATCTCAAGCTAGCTTTTGCCTCCACTAACCTTAGTCTGTCATGCAGGTAGGTATTCTGTTGACCTTTACCCCACAGACTTGTAGAATGGGAGTTGCATGTATGCTATCGCCATAATTGTCATACTCCTTTAAAAATATCGTACAGTGCTGCAGGAGTGGTATAATTAAAACTATACAATTCTATTTGTCAGTTTTATTCCTCCCTCCTTTTATATTTGTGCTTCCAGTGATTTGAATTGTAAAGGACCATATCTATCAGAACCGAATACAAGGTCCCTTTTGCTCATACAAAAAGGAGCAGAGATGGGGTTTTGGTTTTTTTTGTATCAAATGCCTGATTGAGAATATTTATATAAAACTAATCTTATTTTTTAATGGCCGCATCACGAGCTGCATAAGAAAAATATGAGAAACTCAGCTTACTCTTATTTGATCACCTGTATTGTTGTCGGTGGTACCATTTCACATGTTGTTACAACCTTCCAAAAAAAGATGTTGCAAACAACCTCTGTTAAAATACACAGAACCCACTGAAATTGCTCATGTATTCCATTAGGCCCCTTACAAATGCACAAAACTTATGAATGAAACTTAGTATTTCGTGAACTGTTATCTGTTCTCATTGATTCTGTTCTCATTGATTCTCAGTTATGTCAGACACAAGCAAGAAAATGATCTGAAGACAAATTTATATGGAACTTGAAACAGATGTCTTAACTAATAAAGCAATTTCTTTCCTGCTTATCCTATTTAAAAATAAAGTGAACTGATGGCAAGCTTTAAACAGTTATCTGTAGAACTGTTTCCTAGGTTTTGCCTTAATTGTTCATGTATTATCAATTTAGAAAATAATTTACAATGCTTTAGGTTTAACTGATTAAGCAGGATCTCAGAGAGACCGCTGTAGCCCAGCTGGAGCAGCCCCCAGGGCTGCCGATTCCTGCTCTCGGTGCCCTTTTCCCCCATCTATGCCTGTTTACCTGTTCACATCCTTAATACTCAGTGGAGGAAAGAGTACATTTCACAAGTTGACTAAAGTGTAATTCTGCTAATAGAGCTTATTTTTTTTTCAAAACTCTTAAAATGAATTTAGGAGCATATTGATGATATGGGCATATAACATGCATTCTCTGGTTTGGCAGCATCAGTAGTCCGGCATGATTTTATTTAGCTGGATGCCCACTTATGGGTCTGATCAAGTTTCCCATTGTCCCATAAAGTTTGTTTACAGCCACCAATCCTGGCCTTGTGTTCTGTGCTGCTGTTTAGCTCTAATTTACGCCTGAATGTCTTCTGAGAACCCTGTAAGCAATGGAAATGTTGGTAATGCTGCTAAACAATATTGGCTTCCTATGGTTCTGCAAATTCTCTGGTTTGGCACCGATCAGGTCCCAATGATGCAGGACTAGAGAGGTTCAGCCTGTAATGTTAATGGATGCTAAACGTGTGCATGGAGGGTATTTGGAGAAAATATTTCAGCTGAAGACTTGCTAGTATGATCACCAGAGCTAGTCAGAGGATGACATTTCAGTTTTGTGAAGAATTTGACATTTGAAAACTTGACTTTCATTTGAACTAAAAGGAAACTCAACATTTTTGAAATCTTCCAATTCAAAATGAGTTTTGCTTTGTGATAAAATATTATGGTTTGACAAAACCAGAATGTTTCATTTTGGTTTTTATTTTATTACTTCATAATAATGCAAAATATTTGTTGAGAACAGTCACTTTAAAATGAAAAACTGAAACATTGTTTAAAAAAAAATGTCAAAACATCCCATTTGATATTGCCAGAATTTTTTTCAGTTTTTCTCAAAGAAAATTTTGCTTCAATTTGACTCGATTTTGTAAAGTGTTCTGATTTTTAACAGAAAGGCAGGTTCTGAGGGGAAAAATGGTCCCCTGGAAGTTTTTTTTCAACTTCATCTCATGAACGCTATTTCAGTCTAACCTGACTGGATTTCAAGTAATCTATCAAAAGAGACAGATTTAATTATAAGAAATTGGCTTTTGGATCTCTGTAGAAGTTATACTGAAAATTTGAGTTTCAATATGGATTTTGGATTACCTTTATAGGGTTAACCATGCTGGGGACAGCGATTGGTCATTATGCCATACCATGGTGTAAGAAAGCGCTTTTGTTAACTGCTCTGTTGTCAGTGGTTGGGACTTCCATGGGCATTCTTGACACAGGTAAGTGAACAGATCATCTTCCTTGCTGCAGGAAGTCCTGTGGATTAAATGAGTCATTTAGAGTATTAACTCACTTTGTATCTATCTGAGAGAATTGTTAGCACTAATGATTCACAAGAACTGAGTTTGTTTCCATTAGTAGAACTTCCAGTTTGCATGGCAAGCATGTTGTCAGTAGAGGTTTAGGGCATGCTTAAACAGTTACATTTCACTAAGTGTAGGAGTAACATAGCCGGTCCCCGAGTTGCAAACGGTCGACTTATGACCATTCGCAGTTACGACCAAAAGTGTCGTAAATGGTGGACCCCGAGTTACAAACGCGATCTGCGCCTATGAACAGCGTGGTCGCATGTAATTCAATGGAGTCCGAATTATGAACAAACCGAGTTACAACCAATTGCTTGGTCTGTAACCGGTTCGTAAGTCGGAGACTGGCTGTATGTGTGTTTTGTTTCCTAGTATGCATGGTATATGTATGTTAAACTAAATTTGTGTTCATATCCATTTTCAGTTGCCATTAAAGTACCACTTTTGCTGTTACTACATCCATTCTGAAGACAGAGCAGTTTTTTCCTGATTGTGAGGTAGATGCTAGGCTGGAATAATTACCAAAATTAAACTGCTGGTATATACCTGTTTTTATGTGGGACGGCATGGAAAAATTGTCAAGTATTCCTTAATTACCTACTTATTTGGACCATGTGTGTGGTTAAGGCAGTGGTCACCAACCAGTAGATCGGGGTCTACTGGTAGATCTTGGAACCTCTGACAGGTGATCCTGACAGGTTTGGCTGGGAGGCCATCAAGTGCTGGCACTTCATCTGCCCCTCTCAGCACTGCTATGCTGCTCTTGCCTTCTGCCTTGGAGGTGCCCCTTACCCCTGGGAGCCTCCTGCTTGCAGGGCACGGGAAGAAGAGGAAGTGGGGGGGATGCTGATGTCAGGGTGCCCCTCCCTCTACCCTGCACCCCATCTTCACAGAGTGGGGGGGAGAGGCAAAAGAATTTGCTGGCTGTTTTGGGAGTGGTACTGGTACAGTTCCAGGCTAGGGGTGAGCCTGCCTTAGCCCGTTGCACTGCTACCCAGAAGCCACCTGTGGTAAGCAGTGCGTAGCTGGAGCCAGCATTCTGAACCCTTCCTGCACTCAAACCCCTATCTGATTAAAAGTGAGTGAGCATAAAGGATGTAGTGAGCAGAGACAGGGCCTCAGAGAAGAGGTGGGAAGGAGGCGGGGCAAGGGTGTTTGGGTTTGAGGTAGATCCTGGATTGCACTTAATTCAAAAAGTGACCTCCTGCTTAAAAAGGCTGGGGACCACTGGATTGAGGTCAGAGCATCTCTAATGCAAATTAGATTCTATTTGCTAAGAAGAGAGCTTAGGACTGAGTATCTGTCAAAGAAAAGCCTGACCTTTGTTGTTATCTGGAATGCCATAATACTGTGATGGAATGCTGTTTGAAGTAAACTAGCATAGCATTTCTTGTTCTTGAGGTGCAAATAACCAAAAGGAGAAAACAAAAGTGCTGTGAAATGTTCTACTGTTTAATGTTTATAAGTGGAGCTTCACTCCAGCTAGATTTGTGGTTTACATGTTTAATGTCCTGAAATGGTTAAGGATCTTTGATTCCATATAATTTTTTATGATAAACTTCCACTGTAGATTGTTCTCACTAGATACCTATTAACTAAAGAACAGATTAGGAAAATCATACTGTATTTTAAAGTTTCTATATTAAATAAATGGATCCTCATCTCTTTAATCTGCAGGTGGAAATGTCCTTGCATTGAATATTTGGGGAGCAGAGGTTGGACCGCACATGCAGGCTTTACACTTCAGTTTTGCGCTAGGTGCCTTTGTGGCGCCAATCCTGACAAAACTGGCATTGGGCAATTCCCTATTTCCTAAAATCCAAACAGAAGGTGAAAAGACAAACCAGTCTATTCGGAGTGATATAGTTAACACACTGTCTACATCAGCAATGAAACTGCATTCTAATATGAGCTTTATGTGGTCCTACATTTTTATAGGCACCTTTATTTTGGTAATTTCTTTGTTGTTTATTATTCTGTACTCAAGGACCAGTTCAATGCGAGATAAGGCAAAAACATCTCTGCAGAAATGCCAAACTGCCAAATACCACTACGCCCTTCTCATTCTTCTTTTCCTTTTCTTCTTTTGCTATGTAGGAGCAGAGGTCACCTATGGCTCTTACATTTTCAATTATGCAAAGGTTTATGCAGACATGAAAGAGAGTGAAGCAGCTGGTTTGAACTCCCTTTTTTGGGGAGCATTTGCAACTTGCAGAGGACTGGCAATTTGTTTTGCTAACTGTTTATATCCTGGTACTATGATTATGCTGAGTGTCATAGGTTCCACTGTTTCTTCTCTATTCTTGGCACTGTTCAGTAAGCATCCTGTCTTGCTCTGGGTTGGGACTGCAGCCTATGGTGCTTCAATGGCTACCACCTTCCCCAGTGGTATTTCCTGGATTGAACAGTATACCACCATACAGGGAAAGTCTGCTTCTTTCTTTGTAGTTGGTGCTGCGTTGGGGGAGATGAGCATTCCAGCAGTGGTTGGGTTTCTTGAAGGAAAACTTCATGATGTCCCTGTGATAATGTATGCTGCATTGGGAACATCTGTAATGACAGCAGTACTATTTCCTGTGATGTATAAATTAGCCACTTCTTCCAGTGAAAGTAAGTTGAAAGATGGCGGTGGGAGCGAAGATCAGAAAGCTTTGTTGTCCAACTTTGGACTTAATGAAGATGAGGAAGATGAAGAGGATGCAGGAGACTGGAACGAAGCAGACTTTGAAGTAATTGAAATGAATGATACTATGAGAAACTCTGTGGTAGAGACATCTCAAAAGATCCCAGAGGAGTCCCCAGCCAAAGTGTCCATGCAGCCACCATCAAACGTGTTCAGTTCTTCTCCAGTGATTGATCTTAGCTCCCCAGGGAGAAAGCAATTCAATAGAGATCGAGAGAAGAATGACTGACATAAAAACTTGGTTTGCTTACTTGAGATAGCTGCCTGGCTTCTGCAAGATAATAACCAAATTAGCTGGTTTTTCTGTAAAGCAAATCAGAATTTTAATAGTGGTACAAAGAGTGTTTCGTCGAATCCCAGTTGACGCTTTTTCATTTTAGTCTGTACCCATGCATCCTGGAGTGGCAAAAAGAGCAAGTATCTTGGATGTACAAAGAGGCGTTCTGTGGTAATGTGATCAGATTTTGTGTTGTGGAACTAAAAGGAAATTTAGACAAAACACTTGAAATGTTTCTTAAATGTGAGGCTGTGAAACAATCTCTTGAAAAAAGTGGTGGGCACCCAATGTAACTTAGTGATATTGTTCGGAGTGTATTAACCATATTTTTAGAACAGTCCTTTGTTGGCAGGAATAGACTAGGACACACAGTGATCTTAACTGAAACAAAAAGCAGGACTGTGTAGCACTTTAAAGACTAACAAGATGGTTTAATAGGTGATGAGCTTTCGTGGGCCAGACGCACTTCCTTAACTGGTTACTGTCATACAAATAAGAACTGAGAGTAGAATTCTTGGAATTTCTTGAATCTAGTGAAGGATCTATTTCCGTGGCACTTAATTTCCTGATTTATGATACATACAAGATTTTAAGTTAATCGACAAGCTGTTGGTTGTGTCCTTGTCCCTTTGAAACAGTGAAAAGTTGATAACTGAAAACTTTAGTTAATGAATGTATTGTTGACCTTGACTGGGAATTTCCATCGTTTAAATATACATTTCCGTGTGTAGCACTTTTTAAGTCATGGAAACATCAAATGTGTTACACTGGAATACAATATTTAGGGAAGTTTTAAAAAAATTGTAGTATGTACTTGTGACAGTTTTGTTCTTCAAAGCAGCCTTGTAAAATCTGCTGCCTTTTTATTTTGAGAGGAGTGGAAAGAGATGACAAGGGAGTTTTAAAAAGTAGCTATACTGATCTGGTATAATTTTTAACTCTTGATTGTTGAGTCGTTTTGAACTACTCCTTAATGTTTGGTAATATATTACTGGAATCGCAGGCAGTATACACAGTAGTGTAATTACCTTACATATACCAAAGCTGAAGCATTTTCAAAGGCAATTTTATAGTCTGTGGGTACGTCTAGACTACAGGCTTCTGTCGACAGAAGTTTTGTCGAGAGATACTGTCGACAAAACTTCTGTCGACAAAGAGCGTCTAGACTACATTGAGTTCTGTTGACAAAGCGAGCTGCTTTGTTGACATGGTAGTGTAGACGCAAAGGACAGTTTATATTCAATAACACCTTCTGTCGACAGAAACTCTGTCGACAGAAGGTGTTATGCCTCGTAAAATGAGGTTTACCAGCGTCGACAAAACTGCTGAGTTCTGTCGACGTTATGTCGACAGAACTCAGCGGTAGTGTAGACGCAGGTATAGTTTTGTCGACAAAAGTCCACTTTTGTCGACAAAACTCTGTAGTCTAGACACACCCTGTGTAATCAATACCACTTAGTCCACAATTTTGACTGAGGATCTTAACTCTCAAACCAAATATTTGTTTAAACAATTTAAGGATCTGCTCTGGCTCTCCCCGAAGTTAATAGCAAAAATCCAGTAGAAGCACATACTTCTCTATAAAAGGAAACTATTTTTTGTCTTTCTGGAGTGAATGTACAAAATGGTGCAAAACCTAGCTTAAGCCACACATGAATAACTGATAACTTACCCTTAGACCAGTGTTTCCCAAATGGTGTTGCGCAGAACCTCAGGGTTCCGCAAAGTGGAAAGAAGGGTTCCATGAGAGAATTCCATTACAATAACATTGTCTTATTTTAAAAAAGTAATTTTTAAGCATTTATGAATTTTATTGAAAAAAAATTTCCTTTGTGTTTGCCACAATAATTTTCCCTGTGTAATGTCAGCTTAGCCACAGAGCGGGGACGATGATGTCATACTCAGCACTGTGCAGCAGAGTCAGTCAGTCAGTGGTGCAATTGCCTGTTACATACCACCGTAAGTACTCACTCTCAGGGTGTGTAGATCATGTGGGTGACTGTCCAATGCAGCACTAACTAGTATATTCGTATTCAAAGTCAAAGCTTCAGCTGTCAAACCAGCTGCTTGTATAGGAGTGCGTAGGCTCTCACGAATACTTTTATTTCAGTATAGTTGTCTGATTTCTTGTATATAAAAATTTAGCCATGACAAATACAAATTGACTAATAGATTAATCTACATATCAACAACAATAATAGTTAGATTATTAGGGGTTCCGCAAAATTCTCTTGTTTAAAAAGGTTCCGTGGCCAAATAAAATTGGGAAACACTGCCCTAGAAAATTAATGGGTTATTTACATTTTCTAGCAGTATTGAGGTATCAGAAGGTGACTTACAAATGTTTCTTTTGTGCAGTTGGATTGGTGCCCTTTGCTCATCACTTTGGTAACATTGTAATGTTTCACATGCTTTGAGATGATGTACAGCTGCTCTCAGAGTTACGAACGAGTTATGGACCAACACTTGGTTCGTAACTCGGATCCACATTTACGACTGCTTTGGTCGTAAGTTGAGGTGACCGTAAATTGGGGAGCGGCTGTATTTGGATGCTGCTGCAAGAGACGGTTCAGGTTTTGCTGAGATGAGGTGCAGTGATAGGTTTCATGTAATTATCAACATCTTGAGAGGTTTGTCAGATTGGAAATATCATGCTGGATTGAGGGTGGACACTGAATGCTAGCAAATAAATAAATCACCATCATGCCAAGAAAATGCACACATGCGCGCACACATACACACACACTGTTGCTTAGCATTAATCTTGAGCCTTCCATTGAATGCAGTTTGCGTTTGAAGACATTTCTCAGAAGGCTGAATGCTGTTTGTATTGCTCATTGGTTTAAGACCTTTGGTAATTTACTTTTGTGATGAGTTACAGTTTGTTTACATTTGGAGCCTTTCTATTAATGTGGCACAGGATCCTTTTTTAGATAGTTGTAAGTTTATCACCGTTTCCCCTTTTCTCCCCCAACTTCCCTATTTCACTTTTTTTTTTAAAATCCGAAGTGAAGAAATAGAGCAAGAAACTAACCATATTGGAAAAAGTTTGCAGTTTATAGTGAGAGACAGTGAAATCTTGACGTTTCCTCTCTCCACTGCACCATAATGTTAGAGTAAATGCCAGTGTATTGCCTGTTTTTGCTAAAGGGGATCAGATTAAGATAATTGTATATTGACTGAAGACGCATTTTAATAACTGACTTGTTCTGTTTCTTCAGTTGCCTGTTCAGAATGGTATATTTTTATCTATTTGGGATTGTGAGCAAACACTGGTTGGTAATCTGACTAGATTTTTTTAAAATTTTTATTTTCATAGCTTCTGTTGCAGCACCACACCTGCTGTGACAATGCTAAATTTGGATTACGCTATTTCAGTTGCTGCATGAAAGCTCTTTCCTTCCCTTATTTGTTTAATGCTTGTAGGTATTTAAGGACCATATTCTATCCTTGGATGCGAATAAAGATCCATAACAACAAGAGAAGCAGCTCTGCTTATGTATTTACACAACTAGAGTTTGGCCTGCATCTCAGTATAGAAAATAACAGCTGAACTGAAATGGCGGAGTTCTTGGCTTAAATAATGAAATCCAGGTTAAGCTTTTGTCACATTTTGAAAATACTATTGAAATTCTTTACCATTTAAAACTGTTTGCTTATTAACTGGAGAGTATGAATGCTCTGTGCAACCAAGTATGCTCAGATGGCAAAAATCCCACAAATGACTTTGAAAACAAGCATTATTAACAAAGGCGATGAGTCTCTCATACTTAGTTTTTTCTGGGCTTTTGACAGAGAGGTGTGTAGTAAATCGGTTGTTGATGCAGGATCCAGAAAAAAGAGATGGAAACAGTTATAGCAACAGCAAACCTAACACAAGTGCATGTGTGGTGTTCATCTCAGCTGTTAAATTTCAGTCTTTTAGAGATGTTTGACTTTTTTTGGTTAAGCATCTTTGCTAAAAATGACAAACTTTAACCATTACTAGTATCACTAAGAAGAGTTTTACTTAACATATCTAAGCACAGTATATGGTTGAATTGTGAGTTGTTTTTTTATGTTTTATAAACCCTATTTAGTTTACCAGATTACAAGCCAGGAAAGGGGTGGTAAGAAAGTAAACGCTTTGTACCAGCTATGGGCAACATAGGCCCAGTTAGTGGGCTACATGAGTGGCAGTCCAAGACAGTGGCCTGGGTTAGAGTAGTTTTGCTAACTGCATGTGCATACTTAAAATTTGCAAGGTGTATTGAATTAAATGTTAACAGCACTTTTGATTGCTGAGTGAGTGCATGGCGCTCACAGTCATTGTTGTATATAATCATGTACCTCACTTCTTCATGTGCTCTTGCTTTACATGCCTGTCACTTTATTAATACTAAAGTAAAAAACTACATAGCTGGAAACCAGCAGAATCTGGCAACTCTACATGTGGGCAATGATAAACAAAATGTCTCATAAGAACGGCTATACTGGCTCGGACCAAAGGTCCATCAGCTGGACCAGTATTCTCTCCTCTGACACAGGCCAGTGCCAGGAGCCACAAAGGGAATGATCAGAACAGGTAGTCATTAGGTGAGCCTTCCCCTGTCACCCATTCCCAGCTTCTGACATGGGCCACACCTAGAACCCTGATAGGCCACATAGGCTGTGGGCTGCAGGTTACCCATTACTGTTTTGGACATTAGGTTTAAAGCATCTCTTTTGGTATCTCAGTTCTTTATAGCAATGTAGTCAAGGAGGTGGGGGGAATGTAAACCCTTCTGACCAACATATGCATTTTTAACAAACCATTTAATTTCAGGTGACTAGAAATCAGGAATTTTGCTTCTTTCTCCCGTCAACATTAGAACAAGCATGAAACAAAATAATAGGGCCAGTGATGGGAGACTGGAAGGTTAAATTAACTGTATTACAAATTTTTGTGCTAAGGGAGTAGTAAAGTGAGGGCACATGAAAAGAAAAGCAATCTGCAATATTGGAGAGAGATAATGTCAACAAAATTATTCTCAAGAATAATTTATATACTTGTAGTGAAAACGACATGCAAACTCTGTGGAGAAATTTGGGCTCCATAATCTGAAATTTTCTTATTTAGGTTTGATTACAGCTGCTTTTTTCAGTCTCCTAGTCAGTGTATAGGGATTGCATAATATGGCTTTATTTCAAGTTCACTGTGTAAATTCCTGCATGATGCATGCACCTAAATCATATAATTCATTTATAATATGTGTGAGGTATATAAAAATGATCAAAGGGGTCTCTTGCAATAGCATATAAGAGGCAAAATGTAACAATGAAAGTGTTGCTTCCATCACAGGACAAAAGTTGAAACTAAAAAATGTGATATGTGGACAAAAAAACCAAACATATGTAGTCTACATCATCAGCTGCTTTAATGTTATGTGTATATAGTGAATCAAGTCATACATTTAAAATTTACTTAGTAAATAAGTGTGTTTGTAAGCCATTCCTAAAATGTTCAGTCTGACTACTGACATCCAGTGAGATGTTTTACAGTGGTTTTATTGAGCAATGAAAACTAAGTAAAATGGTGATGGGATGTATTTGCACAACAGCCAGCTTTTCCACATTACCCCCCCTCTCCAAACAGTGTGTGTGTAAATATGTACCATAAATGTAAAAGGTGATAAAGCCCAAAAAGATGTATGTCCAAGTTTAGCTTGGCTAAAAACAAACTAGTGGCATGCTGCATTATCACAAATTTCCTTTGCTGTTATCTTAAGGCTGCAACTTTTAGGTAATTGTAGGCTTTTACATCAGTTGGGCAGTTCTTTTTTTAATGCTAGAAAATGCAATTTACTGGTGTTTACTTGAATTTGTTGCTTTAGTATATTTGAATGTTAAAAACTTCATGGCTAAACTGCAATGCCTGCCAAGTGCCTTCTTTTGTCATTGTTTTACTAGGACCTTAGTTAAATTCAATCAATCAGAACCTTAAGAGACAAAGTGTTTTACAGCCTCTCTCCGAGTTACAAACGAATTACGGACCAAACACTTGGCTGTAACTTGATCTGTTCGTAACTCGGGGACCGCCTTTACAACCGCTCCATGGGAGCTTTGGTCGTAAGTGCGAATGGTCCTAAGTCGACCGTTCGCAACTTGGGGAGCAGCTGTATAATAGAAATAACCAGTGTCCTTCAGATTTGTATTGGTTAATTTGATCATTAATACATGTCATTTTAAAAAAAGTTTCCTTTAAACTTGAGTTATAGGCTTGTGAGTTGTATTATGCTCAAGGATAACTAATAGAATTAAGACCACTTGCTTAAGTCATTGAAAATCACAGGTAGACTGATCTGTTCTTCCTCTCTTGTTGTTAAGGTAGATTGGCAGTTTGCTGCTAGCTATCTTCAGGCTAAATAAAAACATACTAATAGATGGCAATGTCCTTTTAAAAAAGAAACAGAATGCAGTGTTACAGTTTGAAGACTTCAAATTGTAAGGAATTGTGCCCTGCCCAAATAATGTGAAAGTATTTTTGGAATTTGCACTTTTATCCCATAAATGAGAATACTAGCTTTGTGCAGTCTCAAGTAGGCAAGAGTTTTTACAGATTCTTCCAGTTTTGGTATTATGTATGCAATGATACACACTAACATGAACTCAAGTTTTTCCAGACTTTTATCCTTGGTGACTGGTGGATTTTTTTTTATTTAGTATACTTAGGTTGAAGACTGCTTGGTGTTTACAGGACTTTGTGTAATGTATTGTAAAATAATGTTTTTTGAATGTAATAAATGATATAATTTACAAACTGGAGTATTTTTTACAATAAACTTTATAGTGTGTTTCTGTAAATTATGCAGGCCTTTATTTATTGCAGTTAAATCCTTGCCCTTTTTCTAGTAATGCAGAAAGTTACTATTTCCAGCAGAAGCTTCCTAGTTCTGAAATTTCCACTTTCTTCTCAATAGAGAAAAACAGATCTTTAAATAGCAAAACCTATTCTTCTTTACACCCAAAAACATGTTACTCATTTGTTTAAAACTTATAATTAAGAATGCCTTGAGCTCCTGCAATCCAGTTTCTAATGATGATGAAAGGTGTGATTTAAAAATGAAAAACAGCAATAAAAAACTGAGCACAGCTCAGCACTTAATGAACAGTCCAGCATTTGAAGTTGCAAGAGTTCTTAGTGAAAATATATCAAAAAATCAGACTTTAAAATTATCAGTCTGTATCAATCATGATACAGAAATGAGGTGATGTGAGGTAGTGTTTTCTAGAGGACCAAGTTCACGAATATCCTTGGAGCAGCACAACTGCAGCAACATGAATACATGATGCAGTAGTAGTCATTCAGTAATTAGGGAGGATGTTGAATGCTTTTAAATCAGCCCAGCTTTAACTTCATAGTCTAGACATAGCCATAGTGGCTGGCTGTGCAGGGTCTTACTTTTAAATGTGTTGATTCCAGACAGTGGAAATCTCCATGACCTATAGGATGTTATTTCCTTTAGATGTAGACAATGGGTTAAAGATGGCAGAGAGCTCTAATCAGACAGGGAGTTCTCAAAACAGAGAAATTGGATCTCAGGAGCCCAGGGATACCATCATGATGGTGTCTCTCTCAGCATGAAAAAGGTAAGCCTATCTGAAGGACTTTAGTGCTCTCTACCAGTTAACTATTAAATCTACCTTGTTGTGAAAGGACTTTTTAATGGCAGCTCACTTCATTGCTGTGTTCATCCTCTTTGGTGCCTATCAAAAGACAGGACATTGGACAAGCTGGACCATTGGTTTGACTTACTATGGCCATTTTTATGATCAAAAGTTGCGACAGCCCTTGAAAAAAAGGTGGCCATGAAGATTTGTGAACAGCCACTTTTCCTGCGTTTTGAGCCAATTTTTTCCCCCTGTAGCTAAAATATTAAAACCAAATGCTCTGCTTGCTACCTTGTGATGGGCAGTATGCTCCATGAGAACAACAACTATGAAACAATATTACTGTTTTGACCAAATGGAAGAAAGCCAAGTCTGCTAATTAGCCTGTCTCCTTCATTCAGCACATGCATGAATTATTGATCTGAATTGCAAATGTGAAAAAAAATGCATATAGATTTTCTGTATGGCATATTTTATTCAATTTTAATATGGTTTCAATTATTAACTTCTAAAACAAAATGATTTCCAGTTTAGAAAACAATGCACCGACCACATAATTCCTTTTTCATTTTATACAGTTATACAAATATTCTAAATACACATTTTGTCAAGATGATGGCAAATAAGATTTAACTGTACAGTACATAAGGAAAGAAAATATTTTAAGCATATTTAGAAGCAATAGAAATGTCTATACAAAAGAAGCAAAAATGGAATAAAATTTCTTATATTTAAAGTATTGCAACAGTCCCACAGGTTTGTAACAAAAATGTCTTTGCACAGTTCCTCACAATGCCCCATTAATAGCTAAAGCAAGACAGCGATTTATAGAAAATAATGTTTAGAAATGCTACACAATACTACTGTTTGCACAGTTTGATCAAAATAACAAATCTACTTGAAATCAAGCAAAACTTAGGAGGAAATATACCAACCAACTTTAAAATTATCTGTATAAAATTCATTGCACATTATTTTACTCAGTTGTTTGAAAAGTAAAAAAGTGTATTTACAAAATATTTTGCAGACAAAATTATAAAGTGAATGGATAATATATCTATAAGTAACACGTCTTGATACTGACAGTTCAAGAACACACACTAATGGTTTCATTGTTTCAAGAGGTTTTCAGTGCTCCTTCCACAGCAACCCACTGGGAAGTAAACTTGACTTCTACTTTGAAATGGATTTACAAGATGTTACACATAGCTATTTCAACATCTGTATTATAAAACAGTATGTTAAAAAGGTGAAAGAATGAAGTAATTTGTACATCTTAAAAAGCGAATAGATCAGCAAGTGTATTTCTCATTTAGTTAATTGTTCATTATTCTTCAGATAATAAACCAACAGCTAAAATGGAAATCTTGGACTAGATGAACATTGAAAAAAGCACCATGCACAACAGTTTTAGTGTAGTAAACACTGAAAAAATAGCACCTAGAATCCTGTAATACAGATCATTTAAAACTGGTCGAGTAGTTGTCGGAGATAAGGTGCCTTTGATAATTCTCGGCTCACTCTGGATAGCTTGAACAGTACTGGACAGTTCAGAGACACACACTGTATCTGTCGATCAAAGCAACCTGTACAGTTCTTGCATATCTAGATATATTAAAAAAAGAAAACAGGTTCTTTTAAAATACAATTAGGAGAGGACTTTTATAAATCAAGAATAAATAAGACTCAGATGACTGTTCCTTTTAAGTGAATTTAGTTCCAACTACCTGTGTAAAGTCCAATCAACAGAACAGGTAAAGCTCTGGCAGAGGCCCCTCAACACCATTCTATTTTCCATGCTATCACTGTCTTTTGGAGTGTCCAAGTATCAACTGACAATGTGATTGGGGTGTGGACATTAGAGTGAACTGAGACCAACAACTAGTTACACATCTCATTTCCCCAGTTCTGCTACCATGTGGCAGTACATGGAAGAAATAAGTCAAATACATTGACAAATTAATTTTAGGATATGATCATATTTATAATGAAAATATACTTTAACTGAGGATTTAATATTGGAAATCAAAGGCATTTGAAGCTGTGATCATATGTAAACAATTATCTGCCTTTTAATGTGTAACCTGGTTGAACAAAGCTGAACAATAGGGGCAAGCCACCCTGGTGCAATCATGCAATCTCTCTCTAAGGCTTCAATTGCAAATCTTAACAGGCTTACTGCTCCCTTTCTTTTAGCTCTAACTCTTCTTTCTCTTCTGTCCCTCGAAGATCTCTTAAACCTGCTTCCAATTACATGTCAGTATCCTTTTATGTTTTATGATCCTTACTAAATTCACATCTGACTGTATAACTTTAAACTAGTCTAATAATCAAAGGGAAGCAAGTTCCTTTATTCCACTCCATCTTACGTAATATCACCAAGCCCAAGCATTTATTAGGGCTACTCCACCCTCCTGTGATATTCTAAAAAATATGGATTCTTTTTATTTGTTATTTGGTTTCTAAGCCTCTAGAATTTACACGTTAAGCTTTTCTCCATAACCTCAAGGACAAAAACCTTAACATTTTGTTTTTAGAAAGCTGAGATTCTCACGTAAATCACATGACTTCAGGAAACCACCAAATATTACAAAACTCAATAAAATCTCAGAAATTGGTAAAACATGGTCTAGTGATAGCAGCAGGTGGACAAAGGGATGACCTTCTATATTGCTTGGTTCTTAATTCTCCCAGGAGTCAGTTAAGTGATACTACATAGAACATACAGGGGACAAGATTTTTCACTCAGTCCTATTAGCTAGCACTGGGAACAAGGCAAGCCACTCAGGCAAGTGTGTATTACTGATCAAGTTCTGAAGAGAAGGGAAGGCAAAACAACTGCAGAAACAGCTATAAATTAGCGCTGTCAGGACATTCTCAATGTGATTTTTCAAGCAGCACCGATCGGAATCCTTAGAGATCAGACATGAACTTAATGTACATTTCATTTGTTCCAGACTTCAACTGTAGGTACAGAGTACTATTGTGGGTACAATATACCATCAAGGATCTTCCCTTCAAGGGAAAACAGGTGTTCGGTGATGCCATAGAGGAGTCCCTCCATTCTCTTTAAGCAGGGATGGGCAAGAATTTTTGGGGCCACTTCAAGGTTTTGGAAAGTGGTCGAGGGCCGCACTCTTCCATGATATTAATGGAGGAGATGCGAGGTCTGGGATGGAGGTTGGGTGCAGAAGGGAGTTTGGGGTAAGGAACTGGGGTGCAGGAAGGAATTGAAATGAAGCAGGCGGTTGTGACCTAGGGCAGGGAACTGGAGTGCAGGGGTTTGGGATGTGACCTAGGGTAGGAGGGGATATCGGTATAAGGGGGACAGAGGGTTTGGGTATGTTGAGTGTGTGTGTGTGGGGGGGACGGGGACGACAGAGAGTTGGGGCAGGAAAGGGCTGGGGTGCCAGAAGCAGGCTGTGGCCAAGAGACATACTTACCAGCTGCCAAACTAGCCTGCCTGCCTGCCAAGCTTACCATTTTTCTCAGCCAGCCTGGCTGGCCATGTGCATCATGAACAACTGAGCCCAGGAGCAGGGGCGAGATTCTTCTTAGATGCCTGTTATTCTAACAAGCAGCTTCCATTGGCTGTTTTTTGCCAGAAACTAGGACAATGGGAATGTGCCTGGGCGGGGCGGCTCCTAAAAATTCCCCCTCCTCTACAGTTTCAAAACAGAAACCAAGCCTTGCAGCCACTTTTCTGCGTGGGACTGCGGGGCAAGCTGAGGAGCCTGCTTGGGGCTCCCAGCTGCCTCCGTGGGCGGGATCTGGTGGCTTGGCGGGCCATATTTTGCCCACGGGCCGTATTTTGCCCAAGTCTGGTGTAACTGGTTTCTATTAGTGTGTGGCTTATTAGCCTTAATTCTCCTTTTAAAAAACATATGCAGGCGAGACAGCAACCAGCATAGCCCTATCTCTGTTCCTTTTCCACTCGGCCTCCGCCCTGTTGACTAATGTATGCTGGCTAGCATATAAATATATATCATACTAATGATATGTGTTATGCACACCATATAAGTATGCACTAAGAACTAACAACATTAAGTACAAACATTTTAACAGCGATACGGGCCTAAAATACAATAATTCTGTTAACTTATGCTAAGTATCTCATAACAATTTGCATTAGGTGAAGTAAGCTTTGGTTTCAGTAAATGGGAAAACTGTCAGTATGAGGATCTAACAACAGGGAT